CCTTGAATTGTTCGCCGCCCTGAGTCCTCCCGGAGAAGGGCGGCATACAAATAATAAAATTGAAAGGAAGGAAGGAAGGAGGGAGGAAAGGAGGGAGGTTAAGAGAAAAGAAAGGAGGAGGGAAAGAGGAAGGGAAGGAGGGAAGGGATCGAGGAAGGGAAGGAGGGAAGGGATCGAGGGAGGGAAAGGAGGGGGGAGGAAAGGAGGGAGGTTAAGAGAAAAGAAAGGAGGAGGGAACGAGGAAGGGAAGGAGGGAAGGGATCGAGGAAGGGAAGGAGGGAAGGGATCGAGGGAGGGAAAGGAGGGGGGAGGAAAGGAGGAAAGGTGAAAAGAAAGGAGGGAAGGCAGGGGAAAAGGAAGTAAGGGGGGGAGGGAAGAAAAGGGTATGGAAAAGAAGAAATGGGGGAAGAGAAGAGGGAGGGAAGGAATAAGATACCTAACCTTTGATGTTTATAATGATTTGATAGTATGGGAATATCTCGAAATGTAGTTGTATTGTTTTTTACAAGCTATGGATGTTGTATTTTCTTTTTACCAATAAAATCTTTTTTTAAAATTAATTTTAAAAAAAGAGAAACACTGTCCTAGGAGGACTGGCTCGTGATTGGTTCCAGCTGTTGAGAAGAGACGAGAGAAGCTGGAAGGGACACCGGAGATCTTCTAGTCCACCCCCCCCTGCTCAATCTCAGGTAAGGGTCTGCCCAGTCTCTTCTTCAAAACCTCCAGCGATGGGTCACCCACAACCTCTGGAGGGAAGCTGTTCCACTGATTAATTATTCCTCACTGCTAGGAAGTTTCTCCTTAATTCCAAGTTGATGAGTTTCCATCTGTCGCCTCTTCTCCTGCCTTCAGGGGCTTTGGAGAATAAGTTGAAACCCCCCACCTCTCATTTCCCCACCCCCTCATTTTCAAAAGCTCAACAGCACAGAGAACCCCTCCTGTCGGATGGCAACAAGGAGGACTTTCAAACTCAGCAGAACCAAACGGGGGGTCCAGTTGTCCTCTAGACACCCCTAAGATGATGGTCCCCTATACAAGGATACTAAAGGCTTCCTTCTTCCTTCTTCTCACACCCGCAACTACCCTCCCGGCCTTCCATAAAGCTACTAAGTCCTGGCTGTTACGGCAGGCTGGGGGCTGTTGAAGTATCCAGCCCCACTTCACCTGTGAACCTTGTTCGTATTTTAAAATTGTTGTATTGTCTTGTATATTGTCTTATTCATCCCCTTTCCCTGTTTTATTGTAAGCCGAAGCCCGGAGTCCTTCGGGAGTGGGCGGCATGCAAAACCAATAAATGGAATGAAATGAACTGAGCTACAGCCGCCTTCTTACCTAGCTAGCTCTGATACATCGGCGTCGTCCAGGTGATTCCCAGAGAGTCCCAGGTGAGTCAGAACGCAGCCTTCCTGTCCCAAGAAGATTCAGAATTGAGTCAGAGGTGTGTGTGTCTGTGTGTGTGTGTGATCTTCTCCCCATTCCCCAAATTCGACAGTGCAAGTGCAGAAAGCCCCCGCCCCCCATCCCTCGGGGCAGTCAGAGAGCACCAACCTGCGTTAGATAGCTAACCACGGCGTCCCTCAGCTGTGGCCGGTCCCCCGCCCTGGGCTGCAGGGAGCCCACCTCCAGGTGGGTCAGGGATTCGAAAGGCAGGCTTTTCAAGAGGAGCCCAAGGCCACGGGGTCCCAGGGCATTGTGGGAGAGCGCGAGTCTCTTCAGGTGCACAGCGCCTGCCAGGAAAGAGGAGGGGGAGGTGGGGCATCTCCAGGGGGTTGAGGATGAGAGCACAGCTCACATGTAGAAGGAGGTTGGGGTCCTGAGGGCCACACCATTACTGGACCTCTTAGCTCCTGGACGGGCTCATTGCCCCCCAACGCTTCTGAAGCAAAACCCCTTGGATACTTTTAATTTTACACTTTTCTTTAACATATACCAGTGCTTAATAAACAGTGTATTGTCTGAGTCAATTTACATATACATAACAATAATATTTTTAACTTGTTTATAATGGTATTCTTCCAACTTCTATTTTCTATCTTTATTATCTACTGTGTTTCCCTGAAAATAAGAAGACATGGACTTATTTTCTTTTGACCCCTTGAATAAGGCACTTGGCCTTATTTTCGGGGAGGACTTATTATTTTGGAGGTGCAGGAGGCGGAGAGCGTGGTCACCTCATGGCTGCTGCTGTGTTGCAATGTTTTCAGGGAGGGCTTATTTTAGAGCCAAGGTGGCGCAGTGGTTAAATGCAGCACTGCAGGCTACTTCAGCTGACTTCAGTTCTGCAGTTCGGCTGTTCAAATCTCACCGGCTCAGGGTTGACTCAGCCTTCCATCCTTCCGAGGTGGGTAAAATGAGGACCCGGATTGTTGTTGGGGGCAATATGCTGACTCTGTAAACCACTTAGAGAGGGCTGAAAGCCCTATGAAGCGGTATATAAGTCTAACTGCTATTGCTATTGCTATAGAACAGTGTTTCTCAACCTTGTCGACTTGAAGATGTCTGGACTTCAACTCCCAGAATTCCCCAGCCAGCATTCGCTGGCTGGGGAATTCTGGGAGTTGAAATCCAGACATCTTCAAGTCGACAAGGTTGAGAAACACTGTTGTAGGACACGCACTCAAAAGCCCAATTGGGCTTCTTCTTCAGGGAAACAGGGTGGCCATTGGTTAAAACAAATCCCAGGTTAAAAAATAGTCTATATCTTCTTTGTCCTTTATCTTTAACGTTAACTATCCATTTCCACACAATCTCTTATTTTTCCCCCATTATATTTTCATCTCTAGGAGTTTCCTCATTTTTCCAATGTTGTGCAAATACGATTCTGCTCTCAAAACATGTGATATTAAGTACACATTCCTGTCGTCATGTTTTTCTAGCAGTAACCCTCACAGAAATGTTTCTGATTTTAGGTCTCACCCTCCCACCTGAAGGCCTCCCTGTCATCCCTTGTCTTTTGGTGGCCAGAAGGGTCCCCAAATACTCCATACACCCCCCTTCTTCCTACCTTTCAAGGCGCTGGCCAGCGGGAGAGAGGGAGGCTCCAGGAAGGTGGCGCCAAGGCCGCAGCCTTGCAATCGGAGGGTGCCCAGAACGGGGCAAGCCTGGAGCAGCGAGGCTACAGAGTGGGCACTGCCGTCACCCAAGGGGTTCAAGCTGAGATCCAGCTCTTCTAAGGCCTGGAACAAGAAAATGTTGAATGTTTAATAAATTTATATGCCACCCAATCCCGAAGGACTCTGGGCGGCTTACATAAAAACAGGCTTTATGAAAGGCTTTAAATTAAATGCAGGATCTACTTTTCTTTCCGCACATCCCTCCACGTTTACCTGGAAGGCGAAGGAGCCAGGAAGGCCCGCAGCCAACTTCTGCAGCCCGTCGGGGCCCAGCCGGTTGGCCGAGAGATCCAGGTGCTTCAGCCCAGGGATGGTGCCCAGCGTGGCCTGGAGCTCCTCGGCCGACTCGTCCCCCAGCCCAGTGCCAGAGAGGCTCAGCTGGCGGAGGGAGGCCTGCAGCTTGAGGGCCCGCAGGAGGGGGCGCAGGTGGTGGGGGCGCAGAGCCGTGCTGGAGACGCTGAAGGACGAGGCCGACTCCTGGCGTTCCAGGAGCTTCCCCAGCAACGGGTGTTCTCCTGCGGGGCAGAGGGGGAGAAAGGGAGGCCGGTTAGACGAGCCCCTCGCAAGGAGGGAAAGCAGACGAGGGAGACTGTCAGGCTTCCCAATAGCCTCCAAAAGTAAATCATAGTCCTTCCTTCCCTCGTTTCTTCTCTCCTACTCTCCTTCCTTCCCTCCTTCCTTCCCTCTTCCCTCCCTCCTTTCTTCTCTCCTTCCCTCCTTCCTTTCTTCTCTCCTTCCCTCCTTCCTTCCCCCCTTCCTTCTCTCCTACATTCCCTCCTTCCTTCCCTCCTTTCTTCTCTCCTTCCCTCCTTCCTTTCTTCTCTCCTTCTCTCCTTCCTTCCCCCCTTCCTTCTCTCCTACATTCCCTCCTTCCTTCCCTCCTTTCTTCTCTCCTTCCCTCCCTCCTTTCTTCTCTCCTTCTCTCC